AAAAAAAAAAAAGAATCAGGAGTGTCTCAGATTATAACAAATGGTGAACTAGGGGAAGGAGAACAGTGGGTAATATTAGGAATAAGATCACCCCATCTGCTTAGGAGACTTCAGAGAAGAGTTGTTGAAGCAGAGACTAAAACTAACATAAGACCAGATCACTAGTTAGTTGGTCTAATACTGCTCTTCAGTGAATTATGTGATTCTCTAGTCGACTGAGACCAAGAACTTGTGCTTCTATTTCAACAAGAAATTTAAATGTTAAAGTAAGAAAAAGGATTAAATTTAAAGTCTTCCCAATGAGAAGGGAAAAAAGTATTTTTCCATTTTCATGAATGTAATGCTGGATGCTTATTTTCAAAATGTTAATTTGCTTTTTCATAATATACTTAGTAATTAGTGAACAAAACTATAATGTGCTGTGGGTATGATTTAAAGGCTTAAATGACAGACTCTAACTATAATAATTTCTGTTCTGATGTGTTGTTAAATAACAATATATTCTAAATGAGTAAACTTGGAGTAACTAAGCCAATGGGGACTATTGGCCACCTGATAATTAAACTTGATCTAACATGGACATCAAAACCAATTATATGTACTAAGCAGAAAGACAGGTCAACTCCTCAGAGAGATGAAATGAACTTGGACAGATGGACAGAATGCAAATCATGCAGATTTCTTAATGAAGGAGAAATGAAATGCAATTTGAAGGCTTATGAAAAATCTGGATTGCTATTCCTAGAGTACAAATCACTGAAAAAAAATTAGGTTGAAACTAGATGGATTGCCACATTTCCAACCACCATGAAACCATTCCTCTAGAGAATTTAGATTTTCAAGTCTTTTAGGCAATGAGGTTCAGGACAAAATGACTTTTGTGGTGTCTTGGTATTAGTTTGCTAGGGAGGCCATAACAAAGTGCCTCATGCTGGGGGGACTGTAGCAACAGAAATTTATTTCCTCACAGCTCTGGAGGGTAAGAGTTCAAGACCAAGGCATCACCAGACTGGTTTCTTCTGAAAGCCTCTCTCCTTAGATTGTATATTGCTGTCTTCTTCTGGTTTTCACATGGCCTTTTCTCTGTGCCTGTGCATCTCTGGTGTCTCTTCCTCTTCTTAGATGGCCACTGTTCATATTGGATTAGGGCCTACCCCAACAGCTTTATTTCACCTTAATTCCTTCTGTAAAGACTCTATCTCCAAACAGTCCTATTTCAAGGTACTAGGAATTAGGTTTCATCACATGAATTTTGGGAGGACACAATTCAGTCCACAACAATATTTATTGCACAATTTAGACACAATTTAGAGAACAAAAACATCAAAATATGGAAATGAATAGAGAGAAAATCAGCTGAGTACCTTACCAGAGGGAGGTTTTGATCTGTTGGTAGAGTGACCAACCATCCCGGTTTTCCAGGAACTATCCTGGTTTTAGCACTGAAAGTCTCATATCCTGTCCTCAGATGACAATGGTTGGTCACTCAGTGTCGTGTGCTGGATACTCTACAAGTATAGTTAAATGTAGGAATGTGTTTAGTGACCCAAGGAATTATGGTGGTATGATAAACAAATCATTGTGTCCTTTAAAATTTTATTAGGAGTGTAAATTGTACTCCAGCCAGCAGGCCTCCATATGAGTATGGAGGTGAATCTGGGAAGGTCTCACATCATTGGAAAGTTAACAGATCTACAATTTGTATAAGGGTGGCGCCTTCTTAGTGGCCAGCAAGTCTCTCTCAAATGTCCCTCAATAACAGATTTTATCACTTAAATGTAACTTCTTTTCTTTCTTCTTAGGTTTTATTCAGGGAGAAGAATATTTTTTTTCCCAAATTCCAGGACTTATATTTAGGGTGATCTTAAGTCCTATTTTTCCTGAGACAGTCTCATTTTACCTATTGTTTCAGAATAATTTTTAGTAAACACTCCTTAAATTCTCCAGAAGTCCCTGTTTTTGAGATAAATTATATGGTCACCCAACTTCCATTGCTCCAAGTTCTTCTGGCTCAATACACTTCTCTGCTTTTCTCCTCCTGTAACACAGCAGCTTCTCCACTAGCCATTCACAGGCATAAAGATTCCTCCAGTCCCTGTGTGACTCTTCTCTTCACTGTCTGATCAGAGCAATGGAGACGGGACTCACTTATTTTGTTTTAGATCCCCCTACTTGACCAGATCTTCTATTTTGACAACAAAAGAGAAAGTATAATTTTTCCCTCAGCAAAGAATCAGGGCACAGGAGCTTATATATCAGGGAGAAAATCAGAGAGTTTAAAACAATGCAAATAAATCACATGTGTGTGCAACATACTTTTAGTAATCATGAAATCTCAAGGGATTTCAGGAATCATAAAGTTGAGTCTTCTCCTTTTGCCAAGGAATAAACTGAGGCTTACACAGAGGAAGAGATTTGTCATAGAGTATAACCTAATTTGACCTAGTTAGAAGAAGATTCATGACCACCAATGAATTTGATATTTCCATTACCCAAGTCAGGGATTTTTACCATATGAGGAGAATATGATAACTGTTTTCTTATAATATCTTTTCTGGGCTTCTTTGTGTCTTAAAATAACATATTTGTTTTTCTAAATGCAATTCTATTTGGTGCATCTTAGAAAAAGTATAAAAAAGATGTAAGCCAAAGAAATTTAAAAAACTGTAAGTCCACTCCTCAGAAGTGATCATGGAATTATTTCCTTCCATTATGACTCCAGTTTAATGCATGTAATCATGTGTGTGTAGAAGCATAAATTTATGCATCTCCCTCTGTCTGTGATACACATTGAGATTGCTCCACCTTATGATATACGTTAACTATACCTTTAAATCTAAATATATATTATGAGCACATTTAGCCAACCATGATGTTACCTTTGAAGATTTAATTGATTTTTCTTTTTCTGTTGTTGCTATTATAAAAAACATTGCCAGAAAACTCTGTGTGATAGTGTTTGTAAATTATTACTTATATCTGTGCTGCTAGTTACCTGAAGTGAAAAATTACTAATCAGAAGTCTGCACATTCTTAGTCCTTTTTAAAATGCTTTGCATATGGCTGCTCAGGAAGGTTGTGCCAATTCATACACCTGCAGCACTGTGGAAGCATTTCTGTTTTCCTCCAACCCTTGACAACACTGGCAGTTCTCTTTTTATAGTTTCTGCCAGCTTGATAGAGAAAAATAGTGTATTCTCTTTGTAATTTGCATTCACTTCATTATGATTATACTTGTGCAGTTTTTACATGTTCATAGGCCTTTTGTGAAGTGTCTGTTTCTATTTTTTAACCTTTTCAGTTCTTTTGATTTGTTGTTTATCTTATCATACAGCAATAGATCTTTATAATAACATAATAATGTATTAACATCATCACTGCTTGATATGTGTTGTAAATACATTTAATATTTTTACATTTCATTTTAATGATTTTTTAAACTTGAAGTATTAAAAAGTGTTGTTCCGTTATGTCTTATTTTACTTATTTTCTGCACCCAAAATATTATAGAAATACTCATTCTTATATGAATAAGTCCATTTTTATTAATTGATTCATTCATTTTTACATTTATATAGCCGTCTAGCTAGAAATTTGCATGTGAAAAGTGTGAGGTAGGGATGTTATTTTATTTCTTTTTATAAACAATTAGCTGTTTATGTCAATGATATCATTGAAAAACCCACCTTTTTCTATTTGAAATAGCTCTTTACCATATTACTTCCGATACTAAAACACTACAATGCATTTTAATATATGTTGCAACAAATTTCAGTATACTGCAGACTTTACTTTTAAGAAATGATGTTGGATATTACTTCATGCTCTTTCTTCTTGATGAAATTTTTAATCACTTTATTATCTCCCAATATTAAATCAAGTAGAATTTTGAATGAATTTTAACTTAATAAGAAAATTAAGTTGGGGAGAGGTAAAACCATGTCTATCTTTAAACAAGAACTTTGTATGACTCTTCATTTTCCCATGTATGTGTGTGTGTGTGTGTGTTCCTTAGTAAACTTCTGAAGGGTGTATTAATATTATTGTTTAAGCCACTAATATCTTCACATAACATATAGTGAATCCAACTATTTTTCAGTTGATTATCTCACATTGTATAGGTCAGCAATCATATTACTTAAAATTATTGAAATTTGGTTTTAATTTTTTCTTGTGTTATTTTTCTTTCCACTCCCCTGGAAAATTTACAACATTATAGAATAATAATAGTGATAGGAAGCACTCCTTATAACAGAATTTAATGTATATGAAGGCCTCTATTGTGATATTTGCTGCTGATATCAGTTATATATATATTTTCATGTTAATTACTTTCTGTTTTAATTTTACTTACAGGAGTTTTTAAAGTTTAGAAGTGAATTTTGATTTTTATCTAACACCCTTTAGTGTTCTGCAAGATAATATTGTAGTTCTTAGTCTACCAATTAGAGTAATAAAATATATTAGACCTTTTTTTTACTTTGTATCATCCTTTCTTGCTCAGAATAAATTTTGCATAATTATAGATTATAATTTCTGAACTTTTATGTATAAAATTATACATATGTTACATTTACATACATCTATGTTAATAAATTAGGTTGTTTCATAAACACACACACACATTGTCAAGTTTTTGCAACATCTAAAATCGGTCAGGATATTTTCCCCAAACCTAGGTTCCTTAATTATTATCTGCAATTATCTTTTTCTCAGATGATTGGTAGAACATGCTTATGATATCAATCAAGTCAGTATCTATTTGGTAGTTTTTGAACATGTTTTTCCATTTCAGGAAGGGTAGGCTAATATATTTAAATGGCTTAATACAATAATCATGTAATCATCATTCAAGCCACTGTCTCATACAGCATGTTGAGATGAAAGGATTTTGTTTCACTCAGGCATTCCCAGTTCCACCTTCCTTTCATTTTGTGAATTAGTCCTCCTGTAGGCCTTGCACAGGTGAAGATCCTGGCTGCATCTACTTAATTTGACAGGCAATGGAGAGCTCTTGAATATTTGTGTGCAGAAGGCTGGAGGTCACAGATGTATGATATACTTAGTAAGTGTTGGGAGAAGAAAGAAGGGAGATCTATCAGAAAAGAGGGAACAAGGGAAGGAGGAAACAGGAGATCTACTCCATTACGCTAGCAGGCGGAAGAGGACGGAGAACTGCGATGGGAGGTCAGACGGACCACGCTGTAAGTATTGCACAGCCTTTCTGCTCATATATCTATCTGTGTCATCAGAAAGAAGAGGAAACTAGATATTTCTATACTCCGATAGTCTCTGGCAAATGAATTAATTTTAATCATTTTTTTATGAAATTGTGTAATTCTTTAAAGTTTTATAGTTATTGGCAGATAGTTATACAGATTTTTTTATTTGCTATTTTCCATCTATGGTTAAATCATTTCCTTGCCTTCTTCAGTCCCATCTTACCTTTCTGCCTGCTTTTTGCCCTCCCTTTTCTGTTTCCTTCCCCCTTTGTTCCCTCCTTTCTGATAGATCTCCTTTCTTTCTTCTCCGAACACTTACTAAGGATATCATAGGTCCGTGACTTCAAAGAGCCACAAAGACTGTCTTATTACTTGTGCCTACCCACTGTCTAGCACTGTGCCCTTCTCAATTTAGGTACTCACTAAATTGCCAGATTGGACTTAAATTGAATCAGCTATTTCCTGGGTTGCTCTAATGGCCTCCAAATTGTTTACTCAATCTCCAGTAATATACCCAATATCCCACACACACTGCCAGATTCATTTTCCTGCTATACAACCCGGACAACCTCTAGCCCTCTGCACACAAATATTTAAGAGCTCCCCATTGCCTGTCAAATTAAATAAATGCAGACAGGATCTTCACCTGTGCAAGGTCCCTCTATTCTCAGGTGCTAGATCTTATTTCTCATCACTCAGGCGTACTTGCTTTGTATTTTAGCCAGTCACAAGCCCCATTATAATATTTTACTTACATATGCGTTGTTTTTTTTAAATTCACGATATGCTTTCCTCTTTCTTCAGGAAATGGCTCCACCTGAAAAGTCCTTGTAGCTTTCATTCTGCCTTCCATTGACTTGCTTGTTCTTTAAGGGCTTGCTATATTTTCTCTTCCACCCTCAACTCCATGGACCATTTCTCTTCTTTCTCTCAAAATCACGTGTGGCACAGTGGAGAAAACTCTAATCACGGAGGAAATTTATACTAATGTCATCTGTGCCTCTGATTATTCAAAGAAGAAACACATTTTGGCAGTGTTCTCTACTATTTATCTGCCTTTTAAATGTTGAGAATAAGCCTAAAGACCAAACCAAAGCATCTATTTGGGGAATCCTAGTCTAAGACACGCTGATGGAGAGATGATTTTGCCAAACCCAAGAACATAGCTGAGTCCTCTGAAGAGGTACTAAAAATAAAAGCATAGGCTTTCATAATACTTTCTGGGGCATCTGCCTCTTAATTTCAAATGAAAAAGGAAAGAGTTTAAATCAACTTTTTGATAAAGGGTGTCTACATAACCCACACACACAAAAAATTACAGTGAGAAAGGCGACATGGCCATACAGTTCCTGACTAAATTAAATGGTAATGTCCATTTCTATTTAAAAAAAGGTTTATATTTTATTTATACTTGATATTTCAGTAGATCTAACATAATTTCCAATTTAGATATGGAAAACTGAAAATGTGCAGAAATTACAGCTTAATGCCTGGGGTAAGAAGAGAAGAAATTCACCTTTTTACAATTCAATCAAATGCAGAATAGGAGCAGTTAATAATTGTAGAATATGAATAATCAGATAAGACATTTTCTAGTGAAAACTCATAAATTTTATTTTTGGAGTACATTAAAATTCAGTTAAATTTTAAAATCACAGCATATCTTGAGCCACTGTGAATAGTTGCTGTATCTATAGAAATCTATTTTAGAGATATGCAAGTACAAATTATAGAATGTCAGCATGCAATTTGATTTTATGTGCTTTTCCACTAATATAAATAATGAAGCATGCTGAGAGCATTCAGATACATTCAGCTGAGTATAATTAAAATACTGAGGTATAACATGTTAAAAAAAAGAAACAAATTAAGTACTAAAATGAAGTAGGTAGAAATACCAGCAATTCAAAGCAATAACTATGCTGTGATTACAGTATTGTGAATAGACGAAATCTAATATTTTGGCTTAAATGAAATCAGTGATAGCTGGAAAGTTAATAGAAGCAGTGCCTTTATATTTTCTGCAAATAATGGAAAGGTTTCATTTCAGGAACACATATTTTTTGCCATCTCTGGAAATAAGTCTCCATGGTATTCTGAATAAGCATTCTCACCCAAATGGAACAAACTCTCTGATGAAATTGGCCACTGGGGCCTACAACAAATAATTAAAATGGGATTTGGGAATCAGTTGATTTTTTACGTCCAACGCTCCCTATTGGGTTAGTTGAATGAGGGCAAATCAGCTTCTTCAGACCATGTGAAAAACACAATTGAACTTCCTGCTGGTCACCACTAATTACACAGCGATTGTGACTGCCCACTCCAGGCTGAAGGCAAATTTCCCTTTAGGCTTTGTTGTTGAGGCCCGCCAAAGGACCAACTATTCATTCATGCTTGCCAGGGCTGATTTGGAAGAAGAGGTACTGGTATTCTGAAAACAAAGAGCATTTGATTAACTGTGTTCCCTTCTGTCCCATGGAGCACTAACTTTAGCCCTACTATGTTATAAATAGGGTCCCTAGGTTTTTATAGAACCTACTTTGTGCTCCAACCTCAAGTTTCAACCAGGGCTTCTAGTAGTTAGTTGGGATTTATGAGAGCCAATATATTATGAGATGAGTAAGAGAAGGTGACTTTATTCTATAACTACCAACAAAATACCAAATATTTATAGTTGGGGGAAGAAGAGATTGGAGCAGGTGAAGAGATAAGCAGAATCTGTTCTCCACCAACTTCAAATCTGGGGCTAGGATTCCAAAGTTAGATTTAGAATTGGAGTGGTAATAATAAATACAAGAACTCTTTTCATTGTTTGATCTTGCTGGGTCTACTTATTCTTGGATCCAGAGTTTTTCTCTTTTTTGAGCAATTCTTCATTGTCTGAATCATATCCTTACATAACCCCCTAAGAAAAGGTGAACGAGAAGCAACCTTCCTTAGTCCTTGCACGTGTCTCCTATTGGACAAAAGCAATGCCTTACCTTCTTTATCTATAAACATTGATTGAACTTGTCTGTGGACGGGTGTTCAACTATCACTTGTATTAAACTTCTTGACCATGTTCATCGTTACTCGTAGAATATTCATTCCTGTGATTTATACACAGAACAATGAATGAATGATACAAAACATGATTTACCAAATTGCCAAATACAAACTGTGCAACCCTTCGCAAAATTCTTAATATATCTGAGCCTTAGTTTTCTCATCTGTGAGTAGGAATAGCAATAGCTAATCTAGAAAGTTGTGGTGATGCTGGGCACGGTGGCTCACGCCTGTGATCCTAGCACTTTGGGAGGCTGAGGCCAGCGGATTGCCTGAACTCAGGAGTTCAAGACCAGCCTGGGCAACATGGTGAAACCCTGTCTCTACTAAAATACAAAATAAATTAGCTGGGTGTGGTGGCATGTGCCTGTAGTCCCAGCTACTTGGGAGGCTGAGGCAGGAGAATTGCTTGAACCAGTAAGGCAGAGGTCGCAGTGAGCCGAGATCGCATCACTGCACTCCAACCTGGGCAACAGAGTGAGACTCTGACTCTAAAAAAAAAAAGAAAGAAGCCGGGCGCGGTGGCTCAAGCCTGTAATCCCAGCACTTTGGGAGGCCGAGACGGGCGGATCACGAGGACAGGAGATCGAGACCATCCTGGCTAACCCGGTGAAACCCCGTCTCTACTAAAAAATACAAAAAACTAGCCGGGCGAGGCGGCGGGCGCCGGTAGTCCCAGCTACACGGGAGGCTGAGGCAGGAGAGTAGCGTGAACCCGGGAGGCGGAGCTTGCAGTGAGCTGAGATCTGGCCACTGCACTCCAGCCTGGGCAACAGAGTGAGACTCTGTCTCAAAAAAAAAAAAAAAAAAAGAAAGAAAGAAAAGAAAGTTGTGGTGATAGCTGTACAAAATGCAAGTTCAGCATGTACCATATCACAGTGCCTGGTGCAAAGTAGGTAAGTAGGTGTCACTAAGTGTTGGTGTTACATTACTGTAATTTGGAATTAATGGGATGGGACATCAAATTTTCATTAACAGCGTAAACTTTCTCTACCCTCTTCTCATATATAGGTTATTTTGCTTAAGTGAAAGCTTTGCTCTTTTGTTTTTTATTTTTTATTTTTGAAATAGGGTTTTGCTCTGTTGCACAGGCTGGAGTGGGATGGCATGATCATGGCTTACTGCAGCCTCAACCTCCCAGACTCAAGTGATCCTCCCACCTCAGCTTCCCACGTAGCTGGGACTACAGGAATGCACCACCATGTCTGGCTAATTTTTCTATTTTTTTGTAGAGGTAAGCTCTCACTGTTGCCTAGGCTGGTCTCAAATTCCTAGACTCAAGTGATCTTCCTGCTTTGGCCTCCCAAAATATTACGATTATAGGATTAAGCCACCATGTCCAGCAGTGTATGATTTTTAAAATTTGTTTGAATATCTATTAAGTTTGAAATTTAAAAAAAAGTTCTTTCTCATTTAAGGAAAATGAAGAACACTGAATACTGAGAAGTTTTGAAATATTCGTGTTTAATTTTGTTTACCCATTGCTTCCCAAACATATTTGACAAAGAAACACTTTGTGTGTATAACACCTATTAACAAACTGCATATGGGATATTAAACATAATGACACATCACACAAACAGAATTATTACAGTTCTCATGTAATAGCAACTTGTAATGCATGGATGAATTTGTACATGAAAGAATGATGCTTTTCTTACCTTCATACTAGGTTACAGATGTGGAATGTCTCCTCTACATTCCAGCCATCCAAATCTTACCTCGTTTCTTTCCCAGATTAAGTGCTATACATTTGCAATTATAGCAAATACATTTTCTGAATTGCAGAATATACTACTGGTTGTCTGTCATTTGGCATTTGGTTCTATTCTGCCTTGTTTTGTTCTATAATTGTCTTGTGTATGAGTCATTATGGCAGCTCTGAGGAGTAGAGGAGTGTGTTTGTCGTTGATTTTATACCATTCTAACAAAACCTGGCATAGAACTGGGAGAAATACACTATAGTGGATTTGTACCTTTTAATCTTATTCTTCTGTAAATACTGTGCTTTTTTTTTCTCTTAGCATCAGGGGTTTATTGCCCAAAATGATGTTCAAGACCTCTCACATCAGCAGAAGAACAAAACGGTGAGTGAAATTACCCAATTTCTGCAGAACTCATAAACATCCTGAATGTAGGTCACACTCATTGCCTGATGTGCTGTGCATGTCATGTTCCAACAAAGCAGCTGCCACGGGTAGCCAAACTCCCGGAAAGCAGCACAGACCCAAAAAGAGCAGCCATTTGGAAATACATTTTCATTGACAATTTGGGGAAGTTGGGCATTCACTTAAGAAAAAGCCATAATTCTGTAAGAAATGAGCAATTTATGCATATTATAATCAAATTTATTTTTATATCCAGCTACTCCTACATGTGGGATAATTCAGTCTGGGAAATCATGCTAATTAGTTAGAAATCCATTACATTGTAAGTCTTGTAGCAGATGCAAATGCTGTTTCAAGTATTCTCACAACCATAATGCATGCGCTTTTATTAGAACGCATTCCCAGTGGTGGGCAGTTTGTTGGTGCACCAGGCTCTAAAGTTCATTTGAGGGAAAACACTTTTACAAACACCATTGATGGCATTTTAAATGCATTTTTTTTGTATTTTGCTTTAGACTATAAGGAGAATTACACCTGTCAGAAGACTGGTCAGAGCAGAAAACTTTTCAAGGCCAAAAAATAATGACGGTAGTGATAGTGCTGGATTTCTAATGGTCAATGAGATGCATGTTTGCTGAATTCAACTTCTGGGCATGCCCTTTGCAGATCGTATGGAAGAGAAATGAGCCCCAGAGTAGGACAGGAAAGACTGAGATTCAGAGCCAATGTCTCTGCTTGTGGGTCACCCTGGCCATGTCACAAGCCTGTTAGATGTGTTCTCTCCACTATAACCACAAATATCAGAACCCTTTCTGTCTTCATCGAAGAGCTGTTGAAAATTTAAGCTAAGATGGACATGTAGTTTCTTATTTAAACAGAGAGTATTTTTGGATTATTGAAAATATTCTAACCCTGTTAAAAGGAAAAGCTTGGTTCGAATCGTATAACCTCGATTAAAGATATCATATACTGCACATTAATTGTATTTCAAAATAAGTAATAAACCACAAGGTCTAATTGATGAGCTCTATTGATCAGAGAACTACCTTATAAAAGATTCTGTGATGAGTTAGGGCTTTGGGGCCTAGGAACTAATAGGCTAGAAAAGTGAATTTGGCAAAATTTGTATTTTAGCTCCATATTTAAAAAATTAAAGAGAAATGAAGATATATACCAGTATTCTTCCATTCACAACAACAACAACAAATGATCCCTGGACAGTTACCTGCTCTTCCTATGTGCCCATCCCTGGTGAATGGTACCTCTAACACCTATAATAATCTATAAGCCAGAAACCGAGATTGATCTTTGGTCTCTCCATTTGCCTTTCTGTCTAGTCTACCAAATATCCAATTAGTTCTATATCCTAAACATCTTTAAAATCTACTCCCTCTGCTTTTCCCTCTGCCTTATACTTTATGAGACCACGGTGTTATTTCCTCAAGAACTTTACCCAACCAATTTCTACACATCCTGGGCTTTCTCCCTCATATATACTCTTTTGTAAAAGCCAGTATCAGGTTTATAAAGTGCAATTTTATTTTAAATTGTTACTTTTAAAATGGAAATATTTAAATGAGTCCAACGAGCCTCCAGATAAAATGCAAGTTCCTTGTGAATGGCCCCTGTTTGCTTTTCCTTCTGATACAGGCTCTAGGCATACTGAGAGTGGCTTTTCCTGAGTTCCCAAATGCCCCATGCTTTCTCTCACTTCAAGGATTTTGCATAACTTCTTTCTGATTAAAGTGATTTCAACCATCTCTACCAGATCAGCTTCTTCTTTCCTTTAGTTTTTAGCCAAAATGTCTATTACTCTGATCAGCATATGCCTTTCTCACCAATATGTGATTGACCCATGCTTCTAATCTGCCCCAATATGACCCTTTGTATTCTCTGATCACATATCACACTTCTCTGTATACTGGTCTTGGTTTTGTAAGAAACTGGGGGACTTTTAAAAAGATTGAATCTTCCCTACACTTTTTTTTCCCCTCAGAGATTGGCAGGAGGAGATATTTGATTTTCTTGAATAATATTTATTTTATTGTATAAAAATGAATGAATCATGAAAAGGATCTCAATAAATAACAACTTTAAATCCTTTTTAGAATAGTTCTTCAGCCTGACCAGGAAGCTCAATGATGTCAATGGAAGTATTCAAAATAGTCTAACAATACAGGTTCTTTGGCAAACATTGTGAATTCACTTTTGCAGTAAGAAAGACCAGAGCTGAAATCTCTGCTCAGATGTTATATGTGTTGTTAATTGTTTCTGATCTATGGAAACAAGGTGAGAGAGCAGAAAAGAAATCCCTCACCACACCCCTTGCCCTGCAAATATATCCACCGCTATATTCAAAACAAACAAACATGACCACTTAGGATGTATTCCTTGAATTGAACCTTCTAAGGGTAATCAGTTAATTCCAGGATTTTAATAATAAAACAATCACTAAGATTTAAAGTATTAAAAGTGTTCTTCTGATCCAATTGAGGCATGTATAGTAAGTAATCATTCCTTTCCATCTTCATAATCTTTGACCTTTGAGAATATATGCAATCTGAACATTACAAAGAACTACTCCTGCAGGAGTTAATTAAGCCTTTCAAAGCCCATTAGAGATAAGTATTTGCAGACGTTGTGTCTTGGTTTTACTGTTGAGCCTTGAAAGCTTGTACACTCTTGCTGTCAGATGCTCAGAATAGGTTTTGGTTTCATTGAGGAAAACAAAACAAAACAAATGAAAACACTGTCACCAGGGTATTGCCACATTTTCTTGGTTAATTTAGGCCAACTGTAGGTGACATTTTGTTTTTTTTCAGTTAATTCAATCAAGAAGAATTGTGGGGGAATCTAGCTGGTGACCCATGACATGCACAGTGTAAATGGTGCATGTGATTACAGATCAGAGACCATTTCTCGCTTGGGAAACAGTAGATATTGGAGCCCACCAGTTAAGATTTCAATTAAGATAGGTAACCTTGTGTATGAGTGTTAGTTATTCTGTTTTACAACTACAGTAAAGGGACATTCAACTGCCCAGAATATTCTTGTATTTGCTAATAGATTCTAAAAACCCTCACTTTAGGAGAGAGAAGAGATACCCTTGCTTCGATGCAGACCATAGGCTGGAACCTAGGACTCAAATGACTCCACTCATGGCACTACTGTTGGTCGTTCCCAAGAACAACCTTTTGTATGGCAAGAGGTTCAGAAGCATGAGGATACTTTTGGGAAATATAAGAAAGAGGGGAAAGGGGTCAGAAAGGAGATTGTGATAACTAACTGCTGTGCTAGTGACCTTGTGATGGCGTTTCTTCATCTAGTGGAATATGGAATCTATCTATCTGCCAATGTCTTTTGAGGTTGCATATGAAATGACCAGCGCTTAGGTGTCTTAAATTTACCTAGTTCTGAGCTAGGTGCAGAGAGGGAAATGAAAAAGAACACACAACACACAGGACTTCATATCTGTGAGACTTGCCATGTCTTTGAGTGCATGCTACTCTTAAGAAATATGACACTATTGAAAGACTGAAAAATATGTTATCTCTTTGCCTATTTGTTTGACATATATTAATTGAGACCCTTCTAAATGGAAAGCACTGTACAGGCATCTGATATAGAGGGTGGACACAAGATTGCATAGTTTAGACAGGAGATACTTTAGGAAAATACATTACAAAGGGAGGGGGATTTGGACAGCTTCAGGTAGAGCTGTTAGTTGAGGGAAGGAAGACATGAATAAGAGAGAAATTCAGCACACAGAATAGAAGCTGATAAATTCTTTCCCATTTGAGTTGGAAAGACTTGAAGAATGAGTATGAGAGGAGAGGTCACTTTTTCCAGCTAAACAAATATTTTTTTATTCCCTGAAATTACACAGATGTTTTTAATTCTTTATTTTGATAATTATTGAGTAGTTAGTTGTTTTATTCAAACATTCATTTACTCAAGTATTGACTCTTTTATTTGTCCATCATGTTTTCATCATGGAAAGATGAAGAGCTTTGAAACATGCCTTTGAAATATGCTTTGCCTCTAAGTTATAAAAGCATGGACAAGTTATTTAAATCCTTAACATCTTAGTTGCTTCCTCTGAAAATGGAAAGAAGAATAATACCTATTTTCAGGGTTTGTGAGCATTAAATGAACTAGTGCCTTGTTTAAAACACAGTGATATTCTTGATGCATAATTCCAGCTCTGAAAATTGTGGGAATATCTGAATCTCACCATCAAAGGCACTGTATTCTACTTGGGACAACAAGATGATTACGTAAAAACTTGGAAATTGAATGATAGGACTGGAGAATAACAGGCTGGTTATTAAAAGTGATGATTGAAGATGATCAGTGCAGTGTTATCAGTGAGAAATTGGTCTTTGTCAAGAAAATGGGGGCAAAAAAAATGCTGGGAAACCTGTACAATCTGTGGCCATAAAGGCAGATTTTGGAGTCCTTGAATGGGAGCTTGTTTGTTTTCATCCTGGCTTTTTTCTTTTCTTTTTTCCTTGATCCTAAGGCTTGAACTTTAAGTAGTTTCAACTTACTTCAAAGTTCATAAACATCTCTTTTCCCACCCAGTATATGCCACCTCTTGGCCTAGTGCAGATGGCTTGAGCCAGAGGATGGCCATTGAAAGTGTTTATCAGGCTTTTAGTAACAAACATGGCCCTTCATGAAGATGCAGACATCTGAAAGAAAAATTAAAAAAAATTTTTTTTTAATCTTAAAAAAATGCCAAGAGATTACAGACAAGGTTGTTCTCAGCCTGTGGCTACTTTAAAGCTCAATATACAAGCAGAATATTACAAATCATTTTTCTCTTTTTTTTAATTGTCCTCTTCCTTCAGTCTAACTCTCTTTTCCTTCTCTCCTTTCAATTCTTTTTTTCAGCAAAGACATATTTTTCCTAAGGTCTAAGTAACGTTTCAAAAGGTGAAACGTTTGTCAGATTTATGTTCCACACTGGTTGAGCACATATTAAACAAAGCCCAATATATAAATATATTAATTCATGAACTAAACCAATTAATATGAATCATTTGCATAGAAGAAATATTGGTTGTATTTGTCAAGGAGAGTTCATAAGATGTCTTTTAATTGGAAGTTTCCC